AAGATAGAGCATGACGGGTAAAGGGTTATATTAAAAACATGTTTTCAGACCACAACCCCAGTACTTTATATTTTACTTTGTTTTACTTTAATATTTATCTTAATGTTTATTGCAAACTTAACTTTCAATACATTTTCAATATAGGCTTTCCAATGTGATGTGTCCTAATTATAGCGTCTGTTTCCAGTTTAAACAGTAATATATAAAATTCTGCGTCACAGTTTTAGTTAACATACTGCTCTGAGGCTGTTATCTATTTTTATACCCCTGAGTGATAAGGGTGGTCTACCTCAAATTTATTTGTCAAAAAAACATTTGACGTGTCAGCTAGTAACCAAAATATAAATTTCCCATAAAAATTTTTTGTTATGAAGAAAATAAATAATGCGTTATTATTTGTGCCATATGTGTGTAGTGATCATACAAACAATAAAAGGTGATTCATTTTATTAATGTTTATTTAAGGCACTCTGGTCTAATAGCATTGTATTCGAGTCGAGTTTTTAGTTAAAGCCAAAACCTTTACTCGTATAAACTTATTTGAAGTACCTTCGAATCGCACCTATTTACGTTCAGGAAGTCTATTGGCTGATAAAAAGTGAGTAAAATAAACTCCTAAGCCTTTGTAGAAGTAACGATATTTAGCCACAAAAACCATGTCATTACCGGATAAACAATATCGAATCCGGAGTTAAAATTATTGGGCTTTATTAGACGACAGTACTTCGTTTAATAGCAACAACAGTGGACTTTACTAAACCATCCCATGCACTGCTTAAAATATAAGATACAATTTAGTTACAATGTAAGATACAATTTACTTTTGAGCTTTTTGCCAGCCTTTATGTTAATTTGGATTCAATTGGAATTATTTGGAATTATCAGTATACATTAAATTATTATCAGTATTAAAATTTTAACAAAATCCGTTTGATAATTTTTACTTTCGCATTAATAAACTTAGTGGGAAAGACAATTTATCATTTAGAATTGAAAAATGTCACGTTCTCAAAGATTAATTATTTTCTGGAAGAATATATCAGATTTTGGGATCTGAGGCGTATTATTTGATATGATATAATTCGGAGCTTATACGTAGATAAACTGTCCACTTACCACGGTCAGCATTCGTACTTCCCGCTTGTTTTCATGTCGAAAACAACAAAGCCCGTTTTGTTGTGACAAACACAAAAGACCTTTGATATTGTCACGGCGCATGCTCTTTTGAGTTTACACTACACTGAAAATTTAAGTGCCATCATGACAATACGACGATATGCTGTGTGATATCTCTCGTTTGTCTCTTAAGTACGATTTTTACCTTTGTCGGCGTATTTTCTATTACACATGGTACGTTTTTTGGCTCTATGCGTGTACGATATCGATCGTGGAATGTCGTTGACAGTGAAATGGGTTTAAAAATTAATAAAACTCTTCGTGTTCGTTACAAGTGCGTGCATACTCCGCATTCTAATGATGGGAATCTGTTTTTGTTGAATCTCGGCTCTTATTCGGTTGTCAGTTTCTTTGATATACATTCTTATAAATTTCATTATTGTTAAACTAGGTGGTCGTTCATGTTGCAATGGTAAACAAACGAAAATATAGGTAGCAATTTTGAAATTTCTCATAAACAATTGTTATTGTCGGTATAACAGGATTAGTATACCTTGCTACAGATATCTTCGTCATTCGTTTTTGCCTTGATATATATTTCAGTTTCATTATTTTGTTAAAAGATCAGTTTAAAATGTTTATTACAATTTATGATTGAAAACAGTATCAATTAAAACAATAAGCATACTTAGGAAATTAGTAAACTGTATCATTAAGGCGTCTTAATATTAAAGGAGAGACTTCGCTTTACTTTCTATTAAACATTAAGCTACATAATATATTTTTATAAAGTCGTCATAAAACTAAAGGTAAGAAAACATAAAATTCAATAGCAGCTACTTTAATAACAACGTGGAGGCGGTTTTTATCGCGTAAAATTGTGTTTCGTCGCCTCACAAATTCTGAGGTCCGTGACTCCAGTGGCGAATGACCCGTATAAAAAATAATCCGTGCCGTAAAATTTACGAGCTTTTCCAGCCATTTCAGCGTTTGAGGAGCGAAAGTAATTCGCTCATAAAATTACGGGTAAACAGCCGGTTTTTTTTGCCTTGGAAATAACCACCCGGAGGGGCGGTTGACTCCTGTAATCGGGTTAGGACCCCTCCGTTCAGACTCTCCCCTGGGAACACTGATGCATCCGCCGCGACTTGATGGCACACCTTATCTTCAGATTATAAAATCGGTTCGGGGTAATTGAGTCATAAAATACATGGTAAATTTTTGAGTAAAAAAGAAAATATTCTAATACAATTTTCAAACATCGAGTAAATTAAAATTCTCAAAAAATTGGAGCGTTAGTTATAATAATTTCTTTAATTTTTAGCACACAATAAATGTCGTAATGACTAGGGTTGTGAATGAATTAATGCTTTGTTTTATACGTTAGTAAAATACAACGTAATATTCTCTTTCTCTTCGAAAAGTTTATGATAGTTGGATGTAGAGTATATAGAGTTTTAGTTCTATAGAACATGCGTTACGGCCATTACGATAGAACAGTTATGATAGATAACACAACTAGAGTCTGCCTATTCCAATTTCAATTTTGAGTTATCATTAATAAGTTAAATCTAAGGCGATAGGTTTGAATCGATGGCGTTAAATCCATCGGTAAGTGAGTAAAAGAAAATGTTTATATTGAACACTAAGAACCTAAACTGATAACTGTTGCCAACGCCGTCTTATTAAAACCTTTTTACAGTCATGAAGCCAGTTGCACAAACGTCCGATTTTGACGGGACCTTCACTGGCACGTAGCTTATGTAATAAGGGGTAAATTAGAAATTCATCGCGGGCGAAGTCACGGGCCCAGTTAGTATGTCAGTATATAGAAAAATATCATGAACTCACGTCGTTTAATTAAGTTCTGCGGCGTTTAATTTTTAACCCACTCGAGTACGGATGTCGTCCCTTTTATATTATTATTATAAATCAACAAAAATTCGTTGTAATACTTACCTAGTTTAAGGATATAACTGTCAAACGTATCCACATTAACTTGGAGTAATGTTTTAACTCACCTCCTTCTGAGAATCACGTTTTAATCGCGGTCCTTTTATGGCCCCAAAAAAAACAAACAAAATATTTGATCTCCTACATTTTTTTAAAACAAATGCTCTTGACAGATATGGCCTTTCGATGTGGTGGGAATAAATAGGCATTCGACACATATATATGTCCAGTTCTAGTCTCACAATACTAGCATGACACAGCGAATATGTAAGAAAACCATTTAATAAATTAGATATTACAGTGAGCAAGTATCACTATCGAGAATGTTATCGTTATATAATTACAAATGTCTGTGAAGACACAATTTTGTTAAAATTAACATAAATTGTCGCTATAGAAATATTTAATTGAAGGCAACGACATCTAGTCTATACATCTTTATCTTAGGTGAGATTTTAATGCTTCAATGTTTTAGGAATCAATTCAAAAATACAGGAATAAAGAAAAATTACGAAAAATCTCTGCTTACAATCGATCCACTTTTTGTCTTATACCACTTAAATGGAATCCGCACGTATTCCACGGATTCGCGCCAAAACTTCTCGTTTCGTAAAAATGAATTCTTGTAGTGTTTTTTAATTTTTGTGCTCGTCATACTTAAAATATTAAATCGTACACGTCGATGCAGTCACGATAATTTTTGCTGTTCCATTCTAGTCACCGAGGACTGTACCGTCTTGAGCATTCGATCCCGCAGCGTACATTGCTTTTTGTTCGATAAATGACATGACAAATTAATGGATTTATTATGAGTCGGATTGCGTTGTTCTTTTTGTTTTCTCGTGTGTCGGGTCAGGACGAATGCATTTTTAATTGAGTGAGGCACTTTTGTGGACTGTATAAAACGGCCACCGCATGCCGTGGTTATATTTTTTTATTTGATTGACGGGTAGTAATGGGCAGGTGCGTGGAGTCAGTGATAGCTACCTCGCTTTTTCGTATGGAAAAACTTTTTGTATGTCGCCTCGTTCGCGACTCGATTTTGTTATGTTATATGCTGATTTTTTGTTCATCGAACTTAATGGCCTACTAAATTTCATTGTGCCGTTGTACAACGCAAGTTTTTGTGTGACAAAGTCCGTTTTAATAAGTGTTCTATCACCCGGCAGGTGACATTTTATAATGTTCTTAATGACGCTGACGTTGGAATCTTGTTGTATGACAATCAATAAAAAGTCGTTGGCATGATATATTAATCATAATTTCATTAAGGCATTCAATAAAAAAGATGTCTGTTTTCAAAAGTGGATTGAAGAGAGTTTAAATTGCTTTGTTTTATAATTACATACGTTGCCTGTGTTACTAGCGATTTCTCATTGAATTCTTCTTTATAAAGCAGCTACAATATTTATAATATTTTGATATACTGTTATAGTTTTTATATCTTTACTTACTTTGATTGTGTACTCAATCATGTTCAGTAATTCTGAGGTAAAATTAAATTTTGAAATAGTTGAGCGTTACCGTAGAGCATCTAATAGATTAAATATGTGCTATGAACAAAAATATTCTTAATGGATTCTTAAAAAACTAAATAAAATATTTCTCTGACCTTGGCTGTTTTTAAATGATTTTTAACCAACAATAATTGACTATAAACATAGAAATTAATAATGAATATATCCAATGATACTTATTAATAGATAAATATGAGGTTCGACTTCGGCCTTGACATACTTTTTATATGCAGTAGTAAATGAGAAATACAGTTAACTATAACTTAATCCAAATCAGGAACCATCTGTGTGCATAATTTGTATTATTCGTAATGGGACAAAATTACTTATGTAAAGTAGGTCCTTTTAATTTATATTGGAGTCCAGCTCTAATGGAGCGTTTAAGTAGAATGACTGACATTTAACATTTTTCAGTCGCTGCAGAGTGCGGCGCGACGGGCCGGTACCTCGTGTGCGAACTGTAAGACCACCACAACCACGCTATGGAGGCGCAACCAGAACGGAGAGCCAGTCTGCAATGCATGCGGACTGTACTACAAATTACATAATGTAAGTAACTACAACATTTTACGACAAATTATAATAATAATCAGTGCAGTCTCTGACGTAATTTTTTCAACGTCAGAGAAAGAAATCATGAACATGCTTTTGGGTTTTTCGTTATTATCCTTGAAATGTCTAAACAAATAACAACAAAGATTAACTAAGACTAAATAGTTTTTTTTTCACCTCTTAAACATATACGCGAAGTTTATATCTCGCGCTCGTTAGATTATTGCTAATACCCTGCCTTCAATTTAATTCCCTATTAAAATTTTCCTAGTAATATGCCAGGGCGATAACACGTGTGTATTCTTTTAAGCGTTCAGCAAATATAACAACCGATTTTTAAGCGTCATCCCCTCAATCCTCTAATCTCAGTCCCCAGGGAGCTCCGAGTCAACAGTGTCTTACTGAGAGATAGATTAGGGACTCACCCCACACCAGTTAATGCGTCATAAAACCAAATACGATTGTCTCAAATAAATTACGATTCCGATAGGATCAGTGGAAGTTAAATGAACGATATTATCTGGTTGCATTGCTTTACTTTTGCAATATGACCAGTAGTTGAGTTTTGGAAAGTGGTTGATCGGAACAAATACCGTGTAGATAATCTTGACTAACTATTTTTCACTACTTAAATTCTTAATTAGGCATTGCGATTGTGCTGACAATAACGTCGCCTGTCTTTTGTTTTTTTTTTTTGTAAATGCAATCTGAACGAGTTCCACTAAAGCTTTTAAAAAAAGAAACCTGTTTTGTTTTGGCCTACATAATGTAATGCGCTGCGTAAATATGGTTTCAAATGTTCAAGTTGATGTTATAAAACAAAATCGAGAACTAAAAACTTCTTGGTTTACTGAAGTGCTTACTACTTATAAATTATTGTGTCATAATACATACAAAGCATATTCTCACGCCTCTCATAGCCCTATCGGCAAAACAATAATACGTAAACCCTGCTAAACATTCGGATCGAAAAAAATCAGAGCTTTACTTTGGGGAGGCAACAATGACAAAAATTAACTGTCAAAATGCCCCTACAGTAATAGTGCTCAAGGATTTTTTCACTTGTAATATATACTTTATTTCGATTCCGTGTGCCGGCTACAATTCTGTGTGCTCTAATTATTTGGAAGGAGCTACAAAGGAACGAATGGGAGTGCCTTTACTTCAACAGAAGAAGGCATAATGACGGGAGCACAATACCGGTGCATGGCAGTAGCGTTGTCAAGTTTTGTACCGCCTCCTCATCAATATTTATAAGCCATGTATCATATTCGCTTTAGCTTACACTCCGAAACGATAATTTATCTCAATCCGTTGACAAAAATCAGGTTTATTTTCTGAATTAATGAGACCTCTTTTATCTTGTTTTGACATAACTCGATGACAGTCGCATAGTAAAAAATGTAGATTAAGGTGTCGGGCGACGACTTTACTCTAAGTTTAGGGAAACCGGTGACTATGAATCTATGCGTAAACGAGTTGCAAAGATCAAGTCAGTGAGGTCGCCGTAAAAGCAAGTATGCCTTAATAGCGTGCTTAAATTATGCGTTATTTGTGTGTTAACATTAAAAAGTCGTTCTGTCTTTTTATTAAAAATATTATTAATGCCTATTTTGCAAGATCTATAATAAAGTTTATAGTAAACTGTACTGCCTTTTGATGTTTTTCTTTCATACATTTGCCCCAAATATCCTAAATTATTGTAGAAAATTAATAATACGAATGCTGTTACTAAAAGACATATTCCGCCATATATTTTTGTAACAATGACAATCTTTTCTGTTGCATCTGTTTCCTACAATTTGTAATATATTACTAGTAACCGGTCCTCCACTTAAAGTAACATTGTGTAAATAAACACTGTATAAGTGCACAGTGGGTCGAAGGCGGATACATCGTGATCGATTTCACTCAAAAAACGCAATTCATACAACAAAGCACGAGCGCATTGTGATTTACCGACATCACCCTCATATACTACGACTAATTGTTTCGATACTTTAGATGTAATATTTAAAATTTTAAACAATTGATACCAATTTAAATTTGAAACGGTGTTTAAGCTATTCAATTTATTTGAATTTAAAATTCAGTGTATAAGTGGGTTTACACGACTACCGATGTTCCTCAAGGCAGTGGGCCGTCTCCGTAATTATTTTCTATTTTATTAATTCTATTATCCAACAACTCTCTTCTTCACCTGTATGCAGATAATCTTAAAATTTACTCACATGAGTGCTTTAAGCTACTTGATGAGGCAATTAGCGCTATTTAGGCAGACGTCTAACTGAATAATTCTATTGGTTAATTTTATCCTAATAAAATGCAAGGTATAATTATAGGCATATTTCGATTCCTTTTATATTTCGATTAAATTGATAGATTTTTGATGGGGTTCATGTGACTTTTGCTGATATGGTGAAAAATCTAGGTATCATCTTTGACAACACATTGACTTGGTGTCATCAAGTAGCAGGAAGATGTTTGCTGCCTCAGGGTCACTTAGGCGGCTACGCAATTTTTTAGCCATTTCTACCAAATTACACTTGTGCATTCACTTTTCGATTTCCTTCTTGACTATGTAGTGTGACTTATGTGTACGGTTCATATTTGCCTTGTACAAATATGACCATGTTTTTGAATATCGTGGGCAACTTCAGTGGCTCCCTATTTGTCATCGTAGGGTTATCCATATACTCTCGCTTCTCTACACTATACTGATCAATGACAATCCCATATCTCAAATCAGGCTTTAAATTTCTTTCGTCTACGCATGATCTCTCTCTTATTACCAATCATCAGATCTTTATTTCGTCCCCACTGCTCGGGCTTAGTCCTTTCTTATGGATGGTTAAGGAGCATGGGCTATGACCATCCACCCTGGCCCAATGCGGATTGGCGGGTATTAACAACTGTAAATGCAGCAGGGATCAACAGCTTAACGTGCCTTCCGAAGCACGGAGTAGCTGGAGATAATAATATTTTGGTCACCTATTCCGTGACTGATCCTTACGAAAGTTGCTTAACGACAACGATCGCGAACAGCAGCACTTATACACTACGCCACCGAGCTACTCTCTTCGCTCTTCTAATAACTATCGATTGTTCATTCCTCCCAATCTCACTAAATTTTATAGTCAATCGATTACCGTACAAGCAATAAAATTGTGGAACTCTCTACTTGAATCTATCAGATGGGTGAGATCTTTAAACTCGTTCAAATCACATTTAAAATCAGACTATGTGATAATATCTAATATTTATTATTATAAAGAAGCGCGATGATAAATTCTTTCTTTAAAAATAGATTCTATATCGATTATCTGCAGTTCCATAAAATACATTATTCAAATTATATATTTAATAAAAATATCAAAATATTAGTTCGAACTACACCACACGAACGATCTTCAAGTATGTTTACTTAAAATATCCTCTATAGACCCTTCTCGATTGTGAATATAAAAAGTTTAGTCCATAAAGGTTCAAATTGCCCTTGTAGAGTCTACAAGTGGCCGATACTCCTTGTAAACGATCGCATTGTATCATTGTTTTTAATAAAAACATTTTATTTGTGATACAGTTTGACTTGATTGATATGGGAAACTTACCGCTTGTGAACGCAAAGAGTCTTGTTTTCAGTTTTTAACTTTTCGAACTTAAACAAGTGACGATCGATCATTGAGATTATTATCTTTGATGAAAACGGTTTATGCTTATAATTTTAGATGATATCAAGGTATATTATTATTTTAATGCTGGTTATAAAACTTTTACAACTAATATATTTCAATATACATTTTAATAAAACTTAGCTCCAGAAGTGACTATTATGCAAGCTATTAAATGTTAAATTTAAATAATCCGTGTCGGGTTCAGTTCGTGCGATTGTTGCCCATGAGTGGGCAATTTTTAAACTATTAAGAGTCTCTTTGGGAGCGTCCCTGTTCAATACAATTGAATAAGTTTGGAAATAAATTATTTATTTGGCCACAATCGTTAATAGGATTACAGCGGTGCGTGGGTTCGATTCCCGAGCTGTACCTGCCGACCGCGATACTAAAACGCCCGTCCGTCTGCTGGCGCGAGTTTTTGTAAATTTGTTTATTTAATTTACCACGGTCGTTTATGTTACTTCCTCTATGATATAGTCGATTTGGTTTTTGTGGTTTGTATTCAGTTTTTTTTGGGCCGACCTTTAATCTTCCAATGAATTGGTATTAAGTTTTTTGTTATCTTCCGATTGTTTTCGATTTTCATTATTATTTTTTTGGTTGGATACGTTTTTCTTTGTTCCATTTTGACGTTTTACTAACAAATTATCATTTTTGCAATACATTTAATTAGGTTTTTATAATATTTTAAAAGGATGACTGTGCGTTAAGCGAACAAATCAAACAGACTGTATATGAAAACAATATTATAAAAATCTAAAAATAAATTAGTAACAAGTAACATACGACGTTTTAGATCTGTCATGTAATGTTAAGTGCCTTCATACAAAAGTATTGGATTACCAGTTTGTATAGAGCTCTAGAGAGTCCATAATAACAGCTCAAATGATACATTTCGAATACAATGGGGCGATCAATTCAATTTTTGAATCGAGAACGCTCCTCTAGTTTTCTTTTTTTTTCGGCTAAAGTGCTGTTTTGTTCAACTAACATCCAAGGGAATTTGACAGTCACTGTTTTTTCATCTCCCGTTTTTCTTTGCTAGTTTGAATTTAATATTAGGTTATCAGTTACGATTTTTTTCTCCGCGCTTGTACTTTAGTATAATATTTTGTTTTTGTCTTGTTTGTAGTTTGCTTTACATGTCGATCTAGGTTGATGTCGCCACAATATAATTTAATTTGAAATGCTTTTTATTACGATGATTTTATTACGCTTTCTGACTTCAATTAATACAATATCAATTGAAGTCCGTCACGGCTTCTGCCAATCTCCCTTGTGTATATTACTCCTATTAAATCTACTAATGCTTTTTACTGTCGG